GCTGACACACACAACATAGATAAATCTCAAAAACATCACACTGGGTGAATGAAGCCAGACGCAGAAGAGTACACACCGCATGACTCCGTGTGTGTGAACGTCTATCAGATGCCAATTAACCTGCGGTGGTGGAAGGGAGACCAGAGCTCACCCGGGGCTGGAGGAGCGTGGAGAACGGCAGGCAAGGGGCACAGGCGACTTTGGGGGATGGCGGAAGTACTGTGTGTCTTGATGGTGTGGTGGGTACGCAGGTGTAGACAGGTGGACAAAGAACGGCACCTGCTCTATGAGTAAACGAAGGATGTGACAGCCATCAAGCCACCAGCCACCCTCATCGGTGCATCCGGAGGGGGTCTGGGATGGAGAAATTAGGATACTGTCTCGAGATGGCTAAGGTTCTTCTCGAAGAAATGACTTCACCTAAGCCCCGATTCTTGCATCTTCCCATATATAGAAAAGCGCTAAGTTTGTTAACTTGAGATGTCTGTTTTTCTTTAATTAACAGTAACTTTTTTGATGGTCTGACTACTTGGTTTTTGTTGCAAAAACTAGACATCCCAACCCACTCCAGTATTCTTGCTTGGAGAATCCCATGGACAGAGGAGCCTGGTGGGCTGTAATCCATGGGGTCGCAGAACAGTTGGACACAACTTAGTGACTAAACAACAACAAATAACAACAAACTGTCAGCTTGGTGTGTAATCTTCCACAATTTTTTAAAGTGAGAGATGCTTAACTGTACATTACCATACACAAACACAGACTCCTAAAATTGCCTTTTCATTCTTATTTTGGAGACCTTTCTATATCACCAGGGATACATTCGCCTCACTCTTTTTTTTTATTGCACTGAATTTTATTATATTTTCAGCTGTTACTTGCTTTTAATGTTGAACAGAGTAACAGTCTTATGAAATACAGTCGGAGATGTGATTGGGGCCTTATTTTAAAAAGACTTAGCAGATTGGTGACATAATTATGTAAACACAAGCATGATTGAAGGTGTTTGATCTAGGTTATGGAAAGATGAATAAAATGTTTTAAGATTGAAAAAAAACCCCAAGCTAGGCATCCTGGCTCCTCCCTTGCCTCTTCTGAACAGTCTCTCAGAGCTGAGGGGCTGGCTCCCAGACTCAGGTCCTCAGCTAGTCCACCAAATAAAATAGAATCCTCCACTTTTAGGTTGTACTTTTCTTTTTTCAGCTGACATACACTTGTCAAAGCCCAATGATCTATGCACCAAAAACAGGTGCAGTTTATTGTAAGTCAGACCTCTTAACAGAGGCAATTTTACTTCCTCCAGTATGATGACAACAACTCCAACTTCTTGCGTTACTTAGGGCTTCTCCTTCGCTGGTTCCTTTATGCTTTCATCCTGGAAACCTGAGAGGAGCTATGAGGAAAGACTGAATTTTTTCTTTTTTTCTTCTAGATTGTAGTTCCTTCTCCCAGGGCTTGTGAGGTTTCCGACCTTCTAGAGTTACCCTCAGGAGGGAGAATTGGGGAAAGATGGTCACAGTCTTTTGGTACAAACAGGACACTGGTACCCTGGCGGCCTGGCCAAGGTCTGAAGCCAGCCCTTGTCTCCTGGAAAGCTTCTGGGGGCCCTGGGGGTTGCTGGGTTGGGAGCCCCGCTTGGGACCCCATGACGTGGCTGCCCCTGAGCATCAGTCAGGGCCAGCCTCCCGCAGACTCTCCCTTCGTCAAGGCCCAACCCCTCCTCCTCTCCCAGTCATCCTCTCTGGAGCCAGGGCCTCTTGACATGGCTCCCCTGGACCCTCAGGAGAGGGGCTGGCCCCACAGCTGGGGGGCAGCAGGGACCCCCATGTCACCGTCTCCCTCCCCCCTGCCCTCATGCCAGCCCTCAGGCTCTTAGAGCATTTGGGATGAGCGTCAAATCCGGACAGGTCCCCTCGAATTCCCCTTGACACGTGGTGTAAGGTGAGCAGGAAGGACCCCCTCCCTCTGCCGTTGGTGGCAGCTGGACAGGGAGGCTCACACGCTGACCACCGACCCAAAGAGCCACAGAAAGCCTCCTGGTGGTGACAGGCTTGGGGCCCCGAGGCAGGCAAGCTCCCACCTTCATACGTCCATCCCAGAGAGCTTACCTTGCCTTTGCTCCTGGGTGTAGGTAGCATCTAGTTTTTTCCTTGACTTTTGGAGCTTCTGATTTCACTGACACAGAAAGCATTCTGTGTTAGCATTTTAGTTACATCTATAAGATTGGTGACTGTAAATACCTACAAATAAATACTGATACTTCCATGAAAATACTACTCCAACACTCTGAAATTCAAATGTATCATCTTTATGACATGGTAATAGATCTTTTAATTGGAGTTATCATCATATAGGATTTTCTCTTTGTAAATAGCATGTTTTACAAGCATGATTTGAATTTTTAATATTGGAAACTTTTTTTTTTTACAGTACAAGAACAGCCTTCAGTATAACTTTTTGTGGCAAGGGAATTTTCTTAGAATCAATTGCTTTTTCTGAAAAGTACCAATAAATGTAATACCATCAATTTATTTGGGCAACTCTGACAATTCGTGTATTCTTTAGACCAGCTGCTCCATGTAGGCAAATCTTATTTTCTCATTCTTTCTCTTCTGGTTGTTTCTTAGGGTCTGGAAGAGCAGGCTCCTTTGGATAGGAAGAGAGATGGGTGGCAGGCCGGGAGTGGCTCTAATTTAGTCAGCGTTCAGGGAAGAAAGGCCCAGCTCAGAGCGCTGTGTTCCGTTTCGGTGACTTGGCAGCCGGGACAGTACTTGAAGAGCCGCTTTTGGGTGCACTGGTGGCATCTTAGATTCCAGGTAAGTCTAGAAGATGCTGTCGCGGGCTGTCCCCTGAGCCCTAACAAGAATTCCTTCCACAGTGACAAAGCCTGAGAATGAGGCTCTTCCAGTGCCTCTTGCAGGTTTTATAAAGAGGATATGGTTCAAATTTTTAAAGATTCACCTGAGGTTGAAGCACTGTTTCCTTAACCCTCCACATTTCTTCTGCTTTAAAACCATGAAATAGTGAAGATATCACATCCCAACTTTAATCTCCAGTTTGAGTCAGCCTCTCTGCATCACAGAATGTCAAAGCCAAATGTAACCCAAGAGGCCCTTACATCACCGATAAGGAGACTGTGACCCAGGGAGGCCCAGTGGCCCAGTTCCCACCGGTCGGATCAGACTGCAGACTCGCCAGGCTGTCCCCAGGGCTCTCAGCGTCTGCCCTCTCGATACCTGGGCTGGAGAATTCTGTGCTGTGGGACCGCCCTGTGCACCGTAGGACATTTAGCAGCAGCCCTGACCTCTACCCACCTCATCGCCCTCCTTCATGGTAGCAGCCCCAAACGTCCCGAAGTCCCATGACACTGCCTGATGTCCCATGGGGGTGCGGGAAGACCTGGCCCTGGCTGAGAACCACTGGTCTAGCAGTTCTGTCGGCCCCCTGCCCGCAGTGATGAGGGATGCCCAGTTCTAATGACAACAGTCATCATGGGACTTTCATGACAACCGGTTGCTGTCAGTGGCTAAGTGGGAGGCCTGGCGTGCTGCGATTCATGGGGTTGCAAAGAGTCGGACACGACTGAGCAACTGAACTGAACTGAAAGTGGTCCAGTGGCTAAGACTCTATCCTCCCAATGCAGGGGGCCTGGGCTCCATCCCTGGTCGGGAACTAGATCCCACATGCCACAACTCAGGATCCCGCATGCTGCAACAAAGACTGGGCACAGTCAAATAAAGAAACAAATATTTAAAAATAAATAAATAACAATGGTTTGGAGAAGGAAATGGCAATCCGTTCCACTATTCTTGCCTGGAGAATCCCATGGACAGAGGAACCTGGCAAGCTACATTCTGTGGGGTCGCAAGAGTCAGACACAACTTAGCGACTAAAGTACTACTACTAAAATTTTCACTGGAGAAGGGCATGACAACGCACCGCGTGTTCTCGCCTGGAGAATCCCACGGACAGAGGAGCCTGGCGGGATGCAGTCCATGGGGACGCAGAGAGTGGGACACGACTGAGTGACTGACACGCACACACAGTGGTTGCCCCCACAAGTGCCCCTTCCTGCGGTCCCTTCCCCCAGCCAACTGCTAATGGAACCCAGCCTTTCTCATCCAACTCCTCCTCAGTGAGAGACGAGCCCTGGGTGGGTTAAGGGCCTGCAGGAATCAGGCTCCCTCGCGTGGTTTCCTGTCTCTGTACAGCCTCCCCGACGTCCTTCTGAGCTCCTGGGGATGGAGGTGTGTCCCCCTTGACCACGTGACTCACCCACAGCCGCCCCTACGTCCTCAGTGCTAGGGACAACGCAGAAACACAACCCAGGCCACTGGCTAACGACTCTTAGGGAGGCTCAGCTCTGTTCCAACACAAAGGCACAGCTGCTTGGATCACACATGTGGATATCAGAGCAAAGGTGAGAGGATCATCCCTGGGGAAGGGCCTGAAGGGCAGCCCCATAGGCTCTAACCCACAGAGCAATCCGGGGAATCTGTGAGCACCGGGGCAGGGCAGGGAGAGCTGGCGTGGGGGTGGGTAAGGTCTCCAAGGCGATGTTCTTGTTTCACGTGATGTAAATGAGGCTGGAACTGAGTAAACCTCAGGTAAGAAGACCAATACAGCAATGAAATCACCCCTGAGATTTCCAAGTGCACGTGCTAAGTAAGCAGCTGTACGATGGGGCCTCTGTCACTTAAGGAATAACTATATTAGGTGCTTTTTTGGTCAGAAAGCTTTTATGGAACTCTGCTGTCAGGAGACTACAGCCAATGAAAGAAATGTTCATTCATTCATTTTTCCATTCACCCATTCATTTTGGAATTCATTCAGTAAATACGTGGGAAGAATGTATGTGTAATTCCACGGATCACTGTGGAACTGTGCTGCTGAGGCAACATCAGAATGCCCAGCTAGGAAATTTATCCTGGAAAATGGTCACTGAAAATGGACAGTACCTGACTCCCTAGACGAGGCACGGCATCCCCACCACAGGGAAGATGATGACGGGCGGAGGGGTGCCCGGGGTGGCGACGCGACACCAGGTGAGGAGGGGCCTGCGCTTCTGGTGAGGGGTCTCGTGTCTGAGAGACTCCACACCACTCTCCGAGGACAGGAAAGAACTGCAGCACTGCTGGTAACATCCTGAATTCTAGAGCGCCCATCCTAGCCAAGCACACAGGGGAATATCACTGTGAGGCCAATCACGGTGCGCAGTGCTGAAGCCATCCATCCTTACACCTGGGATCCAGAGCCAGCGTGGCCCCTCAAAGTGCCCAGGGCACCTCCTGTTCCTCAAGCTACTCCTTATCCTCATAGTTATGGAATGTTTGTTTCCCCCTCCTCAATTCATACCTTGAAGCCCTAATTCCTGTACGGCCATATTTGAAGATAGACCCTCAAGGAAGTAATAAAAGTTAAAAGAGGTCATAAGGGTGGGTCCCTGATCTGGTAGGGACCTCATAAGCAGAGAGCTGTGCCTTCTCTCTCTCCACCGAGGATACAGCAAGAAGGTGGCCGTCTGCAAGCCAGGAAGAGAGAGACTTCTCTAGAACCCAGCCATACTGGTGCCCTGCTCTCAGACATCTAGATCTCAGATGTGTGAGAGAATAAATTTCTGTTGCTTAAGCCACCAGGCTGTGGTATTGTGTTATGGTAGTCCTAGAAAACAAATACAGTCCAGGCAGATCCCTGCCCAAGGTAAAAGACCCTTGGTTCCCCCATTCCACTCCACTCCAGAAGCGCATCACCGTGCAGCCCAGCATTTACACTACTGAGTGGTCCTTCCTGCTTTACCCTGATGTTCTACTGAATCTCTGTGAGGTTGGCAATTGTTTTCCTCACTTTGCAGATGAGGAATATGAAGCTTACAATAGTTAAGAAACTTTCCCCAAATAAGACTGACCTGCATGGTGGAGCTGGAATTATACAGAACACGGTTCTGAAAGCTCCTATGGTCCCCTGACCTACACCTGCAAGGGATACTAACCTCTGCTGGGATGTCTTTCTCATTGTGAATCTCTGACTTTCTTGCTTATTCCTTCGTGGGGTGCCCTAGGCTCTCTCTCACCCACAGGCCAACCCCTGCACTCCTTGGCCTCTCTCCTAACTAAGCTTCCTACACACGGTTGCAGACTCGGATTACACTCATCTGACCCTGATCCCACATCATCCTCTCCCTTCCTCTCCAGCCCTTTGGACCATCCTGTCTTACCCCTTGGGCGTGGCTCAGGTTCACAGCACCTGCGTGCAGAGCTGCGGCCGAAGGTGTGGTCCCCATTCCCGTTTCCACATTCGTCACCTTCTCAATGCAGCCCCCCACCCTCCTCACCGACACCCTCAACAGACGTCTCTTTCTTCTACTTCACACAATGCATACCCTCCAAGAACATTCATCATCCTGCTGGGGCCCCAGGGCTTTGTCATGGGGATGGGAAATAACGCAGTTGTGAAATCATGAAGACGAGCGTGAGGGATGGGAAGCAGCCCATTCATCATCTCCCAGGGGTGACACAGACATAAAGATCGTGTGTTTGGAGAGAGAGTCGCAGTGCGCCAGCACAGGCAGGAAAGGTTCCAGAGCAAATGGCATCTGAGACACCACCATGTGGCGGGGCTCACACTTTGGGGAAAGACATCCGTTCATTCATTCATCAAATCTTTATTATGCTCCAGGTCCTGTGCTGAGTGTTGGCTATGCAGCAGTGAACAAGCTCCCTGGGGAAGTCAGACAACAGTTCAGTCTGTCCGGACCACGGGCCGGGACAAGGGCTCCACAGGACTAACCAGGCTGCTGGGACAGAGGGTCCAGGAGACGGGAAGCGCATCAGGAGCAGCTGGGGGAGCAGGTCTCCGGTAGGGAAGCCCTTTTCGAGCAGGAGGAACACAAAGAAGCCGATGGTGCTGGAAGACAGTTTTTCTACTTTAACTCAAGAACTAAATTATTCTGAAACACCTAATGGTTTGAGGTGGAAATCCACAAAATCTGTATGAACCATTCTATATTGTATTCACCCCAAATACTGAAAATGAACTTTTAAAAATTTGATTGAAATATGGTTGATTTACAGTGTTACTTTCTGTGATTCATACACACATATAACTGAACTCCCATTCCATCCGCCCCAACCCTCCATGGCAATCACGATTCTGTGTCTGTGAGTCTGTTTCCATTCCTTAGGTAAGTTCACTTGTGTCGTATTTTTGATTCTACATATAAGTGATATCATATGGTATTGGTCTTTGTCTGACTTACTTCACTTAGTATGATCATCTCTAGATCCATTCATGTTGCTGCAAATGGCGTGATTCTGAAAATGAGCTCTCGTTCATTTTCAGTAATGCTGACACTGTGAGTGCCTACTGCCCAGCAGGCTCTGTGCTGTCTGCCTTCATTTTCATTTAATAGCTCTCGTGACACTAATAACAGCCCTATGTGGTGTGCCCTACTCACAGGTGAGAAAACTGAGTCACAGGCACACATTGACCAAAGTCACCTGGCTGAGGAATGGCAGATGGGGCTCAAAACCATGCCTGCGCTCAGTCATCACACCACCTCTCACATCTTTCTCTAAGGCCGGTGGAGAAGGGCAGTTACATCAAGAAGCATGTCTGTACTCCAATCGCTTCACTATTTCCAAGTTCTATGACCTCAAAAAGTACTCAGTACAACGGTTCAGGCTACAGCCTCAGGAGGCTCACCATCCCGGTGCCCTGCTGGTTCCACTTCTGATTCTGAACCAAAGGATTTCTTCCTCATCTCCTGTCACTTATCATGTGTTCAAGGGTCTCAGTTTCACCTGTAAAATGGGCTGCTGTGAGTCCTCAAGTGGGTAGGGAGCCTTCTTAGACCTTCCCCATCTTTCCCCTCTGATACCAGAAGGTGTCAGAGGTCCAGAGGAAGCAAAGCTGCTCATTAGGACTTAGTCACACCGTTTCCCAGAGAACGCCCGTTTCTAAAAGCAAAGTGCTGCACTGCCAGACTCTTAGGGTGGGAAGCAGATGGCAGACAACCGTCTGGAGCGTGGAAACCCACGTCTCCCGACTCCTGTGCGGCACCTCCCCCGGCACAGGCTGCCTGGTGTCATCTGGGGACAGGCAGGCAGCAGTCATCAGCTGGGCCACGAAAGGGGCAGGGCAGCCACCAAGCACCTGACAGCCCCAACCAGCAGGCAGCCGCGCATCTGCCACCCGCAGCCTTGGTCTGAGCGGGCTGCGGACTCATCACTGCCGCATCTCCACCTTCGGCATCCTGGCCCCATGTTCTCTTTTTAATACATTCATTTGGTCGTGCCGGGCCCGAGTTGCAGCACATGGGACCTTGGAGCTTCACCGTGGCATGTGAGCTCTTAGGTGCAGCATGTGGGATTTCATGGATCCTGGGGCCCCTGCGCTAGGAGCACGGAGTCCTTCTGGTCTCTACTGCTTACCCTCAGTGGGTGAGGAAAGTTGAAAACTGTCTTCAGACTGGGAGGTGGCAGGGTGTGGGGCCACAGCATCTGGGAGGGCTTTGTTTGGGGTTAGTCTGCCTGATGTGTCCTTGGGGGGACAAGGAGCAGTGAATCTTTTTAAAAAAAAAAATTTATATTATTATTTATTTATCTGGCTGCACCAGGTCTTAGCTGCAGCACGTGGGATCTTCAGTTTCGGCATGACAACTCTTTGTTGTGGCACTTGGGATCAAGTTTCCTGCCCAGGGATCGAACCCAGGTCTCCTGCATTGAGAGCCTGGAGTCTTAGCCACTGGACCCCAAGGGCAGTCCCTGGGCAGTGAACCTTCATCCTGCTCAGTGGCTTTCCCAATCTGACTCAGACCTTGGCCATCCCACGGTTACTGCCTGGGTGCTGAAAATGCCGCCCTGGCCTGACACTTGTGATCAGACCTCACAGGGCCTCCAGAACTGCCTCCTTCCCCTAGCCTGCCTCTTACGGGCTTTCTAGAGAGGCAATATGGTTGAGTGGTTAATGGGAACTGTTTAGAGGAGATCCCATCTCTTCTGTGAGATCTGGGCAGGTCACTGAACCCCTGTGGGCCTCTATTTCCTCCTCTGTAAAGTGGATTTAGCCATGGGATCCCCTTCGGAGAGTTGTGATGAGAACACACAGCTGGTACTTAGAAGGCGCAAGGCTTGCTATACGATGGTTAGCTCTTGTGATTATTACAATTACAAATGTTCATTCTCCTGTGGTCCTCTTCCTCAGCTCCTGTCACACTCTGCACCCCAGAGGGCTCTATGGGACACTTGGGACAAGTGACAGGCACACCTCTCAGGGCCGGGCAGCACTGGCACTCAGGACAATGCCTGGTACGGTGGGCACTTGGTATATATGTACTGAATGAGTGAATGCAGATTTCTGCAGGATGCCTAGGATCTAGCAGGAGTGGGTACTCAGTATTTTCCCCAAGGGATTATTTTTGTTTTTTTAATTTATAGGCAAGACTGCGCTCCTCAACCTGCCTTTCAAAGGCTTTGTGCTCACATAGCTAAGACTTGGGATCAGAACCCTGCCTTTGCTTACGGCCATGTCCCAATTAGTGCCAGAGCCTGTCTAGAGCCTCATTTTCCTGAGAAGAATAATAATACCCAATCCTAGGTCAAAATGAATGAGATGGCACGGGAAATGTGCCATGAGCTTCACAAAAGAAAACCTCACTATAATTATTACCATAAAGCATCATTATTTAACATGTAACCCAAAACGCATCGAGTCAATGGGGCCGTTCATTTACTGAAGATCAAGGATTCCCTTGTTTAGTTCCCTTCCCAGAGGCAAGGGTACAGTGTTCTTAACCAGCTCTCTGAAGATAAAGCAAATCCACTTACTCACTGCTGGTTTCAAATGCAGTGAATAGATCTGTCCTCTTCTCCTCACCAGCTTAAGTAAAACTTAGTATGTATTCTGAACACTGGACACAGTTTGGAAGAGATTCCAGGGCTTCCTTGCTTGTATGGTTAACTGTTAGAGATCTGGTGAGGAAAGTCTTACGAATTGGGCTGTCTTCCCCGTAGGGAGGCATCCTGAACACGGGCGTGGCCATCCCATTGTGGTCCCCAGTGGCTGCGCTGT